TTATGCGTTTTTACAAATTCCCGAAAATTTGCAAAAGGCTACAACGACCCATGCAGGAGAAGTGCTGTGGAGCATAATGATTTCTCTAGCTGACTGCCTCTGTCCTTCAAAGACAGAGGACACTGGTCACAAATCCATTCATTTCACAGGGGCGACGAGAAGCCAACAAAAGAACAGTTCCATGTGGAGTTGACTTTCCACGCTCCGTTGATGTGCTGGTAACACTTCCATTTTAATGGAACTCACATCCCCATATCACTCACTGCTGGACTACTGTTTGCATTGAAATAAAACTCATAAAATCACCAACTGTGAATCTACATGTAACTCCGGATGGATAGATTTAGAGGTAATATTATCTCCACATTCTTTACTCAGAATATTCAAAGGTTCTATAATAGATTCACAAGAAAGTTTGCAACAAATATTCAATAACTAATCACTGTTCTATTAGCTTGACTTTGTATAATAGATTCCAAGGTCAATCTTGGAGTTTTAGATAGTCCGAGTTAGATGCGTAACATGATCACCTCCATTTATGCTGAGTCACTTTAAACTTTTGAAGTTTAAATCCCAGAAAGATTAAAGAAAACTTCAAAAAAAAAAAAATTTGATCCTCCTCATCCTTTATGCTACTCCTGAAAAATCGAATTCATTAAAATCAGAGATTGACTCTGGGATTATTTATATATCAGGCACACTTTTGGTGCATAATTAAAAACATCAGCTTCTCGGTTAAAATGAAAGATTTTTTTCGGGGGAAACCCTTGATATGTTTTTCTGTGTGGCTCCAGGTTGAAGACCACAAGGCCAACTTTTCCCTCCCCAGAGGTCCTTCAATGCTAGAGCCATATTTTCTCTGACATTTACCTCAAGACCCAGTAAGAGCAGCTAACCTGGCCTTGCCCGCTCTTCCAGCATGAACCTGTCCCTGCTCCTATAATTTTTGCAGCACTCAATGACCCCCAGTGATAATTGTGATGTATGACTCTATAGGCATGGCACTTTGGTTGCTGACCTTTCCACCATCCAACACTAGGCAACCTTCAACATCATGCCCCGGCAGCCCCCCCCCCCCCCCCCCCCCCCCCCCCCCCCCCCCCCCCCCCCCCCCCCCCCCCCCCCCCCCCCCCCCAAACACACACACACACTCTTTTGCCACCCGCATTCAGAACCCCCCCTCACTCCAACCCACATGCTGCATCTCGTGGTTGGCTCGATGTATGCGGCTCGCCACACTCCACTGGCTCCATGAATGTTAATGCTGGGAGGAGAGGGGAAGGAAGGAGGGAACTGAATGATACAGGCTGCAGTTTCACCTGGTCTGCTTTACACAGGAGCTTTTTTTTATGCATATAATGGCTCATATTGCTACATTTATCATGTGTATTATTAAAAACTGACACTTGCACGAATAGTGGAAAAGTGTAATTTTACAGCTAAAGATGGGATGGCGGTCTTTTTATTCTGTTTAAAAGTTCTTTGAAAATAAATAAAAAAGGAAGCACTTTTCTGTTTATTTGAGATTAAAACTATTTTTAGTTTGTCTTCTTTTTTGTTATGGTTTTTTGCTTGTGAATTTTGTCTTCGCAATTTGCGTTCTTCTAATATTTGCTGAGCCCGTCTGACTGAAAATGTTTGCATTACATGGGGATGACTGGAGGATGTTGTAATCTGCATCTGTTTGAGATGCTTTCGCTGCACTCCACATCCATGCTGGGAAGGTACAAGGTAATATTTACTTTTATTTTCTATACCGGCAGCCTTCTAAATATAATATCAAAGCAAAAGCACAGCAAAAGCACAGCTCTAAACCTGTTTGTTTAAAGTATGAGAGGCTTATTTTATCTTAACTATTAATTATTTCGAGTTCTGAACCTCACTGATGAATTTCCTGCTTTTTGCTCTGGAGATTTTAAGGGGAGAAATACTTTTCTGTAAATAGATTTCCTCAATAAACAGTATATTTCTCATTTTATTTACATTTCATTGGCATGAAACAGGATTTTTCAAACCAGTTTATCAAGCTGCTTTTAATTAATCTACCCTATAATAAATATCATTCCTTTTAAATCAACACTGCAACAACATGTTATGAATATATATATAAAGGATATCTTCTACAAATATGCATACATTAAAAATATAACAAATAATCAAAGTTATTAGCAAATTTGAATACTAAATCTCCATAGAAATATGCAAACTTTTGGATATTTATTTTTGTTAATCAGTTATGCATGTTTGAAAACCTTAGTCTAAATGGGAAAAAATAAGATGAACTAACCTAACCTCTTTCAGCCTTATGTATCAGAAAAGAGCTGGTCTTTATAAGGGTCTAAAACTGTTTCTTTTCACCAGTTTTTTTCGCTAAACAACAAAAATGGGAAATGTTGATTAAAGAGAAAGCTCAGCAAGTTAACAGTAATATCTGGCTCTGCAATGCTCATGCAAATAGGAAAAAATAGTTAATCTCAGACTCTATAAGCCTTAGAAATGTAATTGTTCAAACTGTGGTTTGAATATTAGGGTTTCCTGTAACAATATTTCCTAAAACAATATGGTGCTATTACTTTTCAGAGTTGCATATAAATGAACAATAGTACCTCTGGAACGTTGTCCTTAAAGTGAGACCAAAGCAGAACATTTCAGTTTAATGCACATCAGCAAAAATTCTGTATCCAATACCAGCTGTTAAGCATGGTGGTGGAAGGATGATGACTGTAATATTCTGCAGCCACAATACCTGAGGACATTACAGTGATTGTGTTGACAATTTACTATTTTGTACACCAAAATAGTCTGGAGGCAAATGTTTAGCACATCTGTTGACTGTCTGAAAGCCGGTAATCAACAGGATATTAACCCTGAACCAAGCAGCAAATCTACAGCAGAATGGCTATAAAATGGTCACACCACCCAGGTTAAATCCAAGACCTGAACTGCATTTAAATAAGGTGGTGGGGCCTGAAAAAGCTGTGCCTAAATGTCTGCTAACATCAGTAAACTGAAGGAATGATGTCAAGGACGATGCAAGAAGCAGATAAACAAAAAACATTGTTAAAGAAGCATGTTTGATTTTAAAGATGTTTGTCTCTTTGAAGATTACCTAGTATAGGTCTCTGTTAAGTGTTTTGAATATTTTGTTAAATAATGACTTTTTCTTGAACATTATAGGGGATCAATGGATTGATACCATTCTCAAGAAAAGCATACCTTCTTTTCCTATGACTCTATAGCCTTTTGAGATAGAGGTCATTCATTTTTAGCCTAGTCTGGCAGGAACATCTCCCACTTCACCCACTGGACATGTTTGAAAAGCATCTTAGCCAAGGCTGCTGCTCTGCACTTTAACTCTAGTTGAAATGTAAAAAGGCTGGCAATGCAGGCTTAGATGAGATGAGATGAGCTCTTCAGAATCCTCAGCGTGGAGAGCAGCTGAGGCCTGGCGCTCCCTCTGTGTCACTCCACCCTTTGTCACGGGCAAGAGACTTGTGTTTTCAGGCAGTAATCAGACAGCCCTGGGGCTCTGTAAAGACCCTGTCCTCTTTTCATATCAACTGTTGCATACACCCTGCTAATTGGAATCCTGCAACTGGGTCACAGGCTTTGTCTCTCAAGTGCTGTCAAGTCATTGAGACGCGTGAATGTGGAATTATGGGCGCCTCAGATGCGTGATAATGTCTCCCCCTCTGTGCTATATTAAGGCCCCCATTTCAGTCTCAACACAGACACTGATTTTTCTCCCCGTATTTCAATAGGATTTCTCTCCGTTAGCCCCATACAGTTTTTTGAGAAGGTTATGCCTGAGACTGGCAGTTACTGAGGCTTAGTCTTTTGAGCAATTTGAAAAGTGAGCCATTTACAGTAGATCTATTACTGCAATATTAAAAGTTTGGAACAAATGAAGCTGATCTAGAGTGATGATGCTATACAAAGTCAATTCTGCGCTCTGGGTCCAGATGGTTAACAAGTTTAAAGACATTAAGCAGCTCCCTACAAGTTTTACTGAACTCCCGCCTTCATTTGATTGGCTGAGGACTAACCTGATTCTGCAGTTTGTCAGTGATTAAAAGCAGAATTAGCCAGCCTTGCATGTCACCAAATAAGGAGAGCCCTCTGGGAAACCAGAGAGACCAAGCAAGGAACATTTCCAATTATACTTCCAAATGACTCATTTTCTTATTGGGCCTTCTATAATTGTGGTGGGTATTGGGTGCATGCAACTCAATTTGTCTTACATATTTGTTGGTTGGATGGTAATAGAGTTGACAGAGCCAAGGGGATGATTTAAAAGAATCAGACATGAGAAAGAAGGATGAGATAGATCCCTCAATATTTGTTTGATCCGCTTCATCCTTTTTAATACTGTTGAAGTTTAAAACCCAGAAAGAAAACGCCACTTTAATAATCTGTGGAGTGAGGAACCGGAAGACTATCATTTTCCAGTAATCAGGAGAAAGTCTCTCCAGTGACAGACTTTGTTCTGACTGGAGAAATTAATGAGGCTCCCTGTGATGAGATTATCTGTCCCATAAATCATCAATATATGCACATTATTGTCAAATTAAATTAGTGCAAATTCTTTGAAACCTACATTGCTTTGAAAATATATTAAAATCCCTTGAACCAAACAAACTTTAACAACAAACTTGAATGTTTTTATCTAGCCTTCCTCAATGCTGAAATAAAATAAGAAATCACCTTATTAGTAGATAGAATCCACACACTCAACATAGCTATCAACTTCAAACTCCATCCTCATGATGGAACACGGCAGTGGCAGTGTCATGATATGAAGTTTTCAGAAGCTATAAGGTAGATGCTGGATGGGGCTAAATACAAGGCAATAATACTGAAGGTATAATAATTTAAAATCTCTTGGAGGTGGTGGGATACTTGATTCTGGTCTGGAGATTTAATTTTCAGCAGGACAAGATCCACAGGGAGTGGAACAAAAATGCGTTTTGCAGTTTTCTGAATTTTATTGTCTCAATAAAAGAGTGTTATTGAGCATCATTTTGAGGAGCCAAGTTCCTTTTTATTAGAAACCTTATAGAGGTACAAGTTAAAGAAATATCAAAGTGGAAATAACAAGACAATGAAGTTAGTTAGTACGTTTTATTCAACCAGCAGACATGTCTAAAGCTTCTTGCTGTAAAGTCTTCTGTAAGTAAACGGTTACATCTAAAGCATCTGGTCAGCATGTACATGTTGGAACAAAAGGCACAAAACTGATCCATGCAGCCATGAGGATAACAGCAAATCAAATGACATAATGCAAGAGAGATGAATTTAACATCACAGAGCTCTTTAGCTATAATGTTCTCCCGTCTGAGGCAGTTTTCAAAAAGATTCCATCATTGCTTTCAGGAACTTCCATTTTACAATTCGTAAACATCATGGAAGAGAGTTTGTGGACATTGGGACACTACATCTGACACGTAACATATCGAGGCAAGTGAAGAGCAGCGTTTGCCGTTTCTGATAGACATGATTGATTTGCCCGCCGACTTGTTTTCAATTCAAACCAACATCTTTGGTTAAAAACCTGAAGCTATTGTGCCGTTTGTGCAAGCAACACAGCAACAGATGACCTAATCCCTCAAAACAAGCTTTCTGTTACTTACTCTGTCAATGAAGCCATTATCAATTTGTATTTTAGCTTTTATCCACTCTGTGTGTTAGTTTGTGCCACTTTGTGCGTATGCGTTTATCTTGCAGAGAGACCTGAGCGGGGCTCAGCTCTCGGTGCAGTGTGAGCGGACAGTAAGCACTAAAGTGCCTGTTAAGCAGCATGTGTGGGTGAGAACAGAAGGGACAGCTGTGGTTTTGTTATGAGGCAAGCTGCCCACTGCTCACTGCAGGGTAACTGTGAAACAGTCGGGGTCTAAAAGGGACCTCGTTGCGCTTCCTGCTGGGCTTCCCTGGCCAAATCTGCCTTAGCGTTTCCTGTCTTTGTTCAGTAACTAAATGCTTTTTATATAGTAGAGCGAAACTCCTTTTTGGTCAACTCCACAGGCGATGAGTTGTCATTGTTGAGCTGGTCATCAAAACACTTGTAAACCTTCACAAGCATATGTCACAAACCAAGGTGCTTTTCTAACAGTAGTAGAGCATTTCTAAAAAATATATTACTGTGCACGCTCCAGGTTAAAAGGATGGAGGTCACTGATTATCATGGAAGGATAGATCCTTTCATAATAAATAAATCCTAAACATATTAAATACCAATTACCAGAAATTTATTTTTTTTAATTGCACTGGAAAATACATTTACAGACTTAAGCAGACACTAAGACTTATGAGAGTAATGTACAAAATATTAGAGATACCATCAATCATTTGACGTCTTACAGAGCGAGAATCATTGCCAAAGCTTTACCAGCAGCCCTGCTTTTCCTAGGGCTACAATGTTGGCTCCTCTCGCCCAACGTTTCCAGCTCAGGTCCCACTCAGGAGTCATGGCTCCTTCTGTTTTACCAAAGCCCAGTACAACAGTGTTAGGATGAGGTAGACGCCTCCATGGTGGACAGGATTCGCACCACCTCAGCTCTCTGTGTGGCGGAGATGTGCTGAGTCATGTGTACGATCGAGTCCATGGCAACCTCTGGATTAGCTTGAACGAGGCTGGAAGAGAAAAACAACATGTTTCTTGTTTATATAATGTCACCTTTTAGCACATTAAAACCTGGAGGGATGCGTCTAATCACCTGCGGATCTGCTTAAGCAGGTGATCTCTTCGGATATATTTGATGTTCTCATCGATGACGGATCTGGCACCCTCCTCTTCGGCCAGCTGCCTCTCCAGCCATGAAACCACCTCTTCATTGTTATCCCACAGATATGCCTGAGCGAATTAGATCAAAGGAGTTTAAACTAACAGGATAAATCATAGTTAACAAAAATTAAACCTTTTATTATCAAACAATTTGGCTAATTTGATTTTTCAAGATAGCTTTACGTCAATCAGATTAGATGATGACACTTAATAAAAATCAATTCTAAAACATCATGACAGATTACCAATTGGAATTAGGTCAGGAATTTAACTGATAGATGAACCTTCACATCTCTTAAAAGTTTTTTTTAAAAGCTTCCAACATGTTTTCGCTTTAGGACTACCCTGTTTTTAGCTCCATACATCTTTCCCATCTTCCCCATTTCTGCTGAAGCAAAACTTCTCCACAACATGACACTGCCACCACTGCGTTACCATGAGGACAGTGTTTTTTAAGGTTCATGGCTAAGTTTCTATTATAATAATCACTTTAAAGTGGAATCGAATAACTGATTAAGAGATTGAACTTTATGTAGGAGCACCACTGCAAAGGAGGCTGTTAATTTCCACAATTTGATGGTTTTTGTTCATAAAGAAAGATTACTAAAATAAAAAGAAATGCATCAGTTTAAAGGAGGGAACACCTACAGTAAATATCTACAGCAGTGAAAAAAGTAAAGGCTCCACATCTTGTTGACTGGTCTGGTCAGAAAAATTAGCATTCATAAGTGCAGGCATTTCTGTTCCCAAACAAAGCCAGGCTGCAGGGCTTAGCAAGGATTTGGGGGGAGGAGGGGCTTAATAGGCTCTTGCTGCTCCTGAGCAGTCCTGCTTGAGGTCCACAAGAACATTTAATGCCCTTATTAATCATTTTTAATCTGTTTGCTTTTAATTAAGAAACAGTGTGTTGCTGTCCTATCTGCACGTCCCAGGGCTGTGATTAATTGGGGCTAAAGACAGGCAGGCAGGGCTGGGGTAACGTATGAGCTAACAAGGCCTTTTCTTAAGAGATCCCTGACGCTGAGCAGGCTTCTGTCAAAGAAGCAGCTGCTCGTCTGAAACCCAGACTGGGCCAAGAGGGAACCACATTTCTCCATCTTTGAGCGTTTTCTTTTATTTCATTGACCAATCAGTTTTGGGAGAGTTTTAGGGTTTATACCGTCATAAGGTCTATTATAGTCCCTGTTGTGGCTGGCAGAGATGCGAGTCACCTGCCTCCCCACCATGTCTCTCACCCTTCCACCTACAGATGCTTAATGAGTGGCTCAGTGCAAATTAGAGGTAAACCGAAATACAGATAACTAGCTGATGAAAATACAACATTTTCACAATAAAATACCCATCCATACTCTTTCAATAAAGAATATGGTCACTATTAGCCTTTTAGGCGTTTAAAATCCAAGTTAGCAAACAAATGTAAGGATCCATTACCTGATAACTGAGCACATATTTGTACAGGCTTAATTTTAAAATAAAGAAAAAATATCTGATCAATAATCCAGAGCTATAGCTATAAAAGGGAACAAAAAATGATTTAATTCCTAGTTAGAACAGCTATTTAATCTCTCATTAAATTAATTTAATAGACAAAAATAAACACTTGTTCTGGCATCACTTTTTTCTGACTGACTCAGATCGTGAAACTGCCCATGTAGGAGGTGTTTACACAAATTCCTCTTTTGTTCATCTACGTCACCAGGGGCAGGGAAGGATTGGGGTGGGGGGAACTTAACAAACTTTTCTCTTCCTAAAAATATTAGACTGAGAATGCTAGAGTACATAATTTCAAACATCCAGCCCAAAGTCATGCTTAAGAGCCCTTTTTTTCTTGTCAAGTGTAGAGGATCATTGTATTGAATTAAAATGACAATGGATGAGTCCATGTAACATTAAAAGCTACAGTAGACCAGAAACTTCTCTTGACCACAATATCAAATTGGGGCTCAGGATAGACTTTCTGAATCTAATCAATAATATGGTTTTATTTTAATTTCTTTGTGGGAACAAACATCCCTAAAGAAGAAAAAACAAAAATTTGAGCCAAACATTTTCTTTCAATCATTTTTTAAACATTTTGCCCAAAAGTGCAATTGGTAATCAACCAAACTTGTTGACTGCATTTTCATATATAAAATAAGCAATTATGACAGCACTCAGCTAGTGTACTTATTATGTTAAAGTTAAACTACTCAGCAAAGCGAAAACAAGAACTAGTTTGCATCTACAGAAGAGCTTAGAACATCAATAAATAACATCAAAACAACCGCACTACTAAGCAACCTAAATAATTATGGATGCTGCTTTTCCATTACAAAACTATGCTGACATTCTTGTGATTTTCACCCTTTTTATTTCCACTATAAAGGAAATACAACTAAAATTGTGTATGAATAGGTTTGTTCACGCAATGACTCCTGAAAACAGAAATGCAGCAGCGGATGTAAATCAATATGTCAGCCACAGCGCTAGTGCTAATTTCACTAATCATCACAAACTAAAAAATGTCTCCTCATGAATCCAAACATGCCGGACCCTCATCCTTCAACTATTCCCGGTCTTCTTTTTTGTCTTTTTACGACACAGGTCCACTTGCAGATCATGTTGCTCGTGGGATGCGGAAAAAAAAAATCCAATGTAGTTATTTGAAAAATAAGAATTTCAAACAACTGAAAAACCACCTGATCAAAGAAAAATTTTTTATCAAATAACATAAATATTAGGGGTGGAACGGTTCACGGAATCCACGGTTCAGCCTGTTTCACGGTTTCGTGGTCACGGTTTTTGGTTCTGTATATGTTGATTGTTACCCCGAAATCACATAAAAATTTATGAAACTAAAGAAAAAAAGAAATAAAAAATTAATGAATTGTAATTATTTTTTAAATGATCCACGGAAACCTTGGATCATTTCCACGTGTTTTGCTGCTTTGAATTTAATCATCGCACATGCCCTCTATGATCTCCAAGGAACTCGGAGCGGACGGGAGCCACAGCTGAGGCTTTGCTTTGCACAGGCAGTCTGGAGCGCAGCGGGGCAGAGCGGAGCGGAGCGGAGTGCTGACGGAGTATGTGGGATTTCGGGGTTAGCATGACATATTGGCCGTGTCGCTGTTAGCATAAACATAACGTGTTGCACAATGCTCGCACACTGTTGCACTTTTATCCACAACTTTCTTTCCGCTGTCATCGTAGGTCACTCTAAATGCAAAGCGCTCCCATACAGCAGACCTACAAAGTGCTGCTGGCGCGTCTTCCGACTCCTGTTCTTTCCCACTCGCCATACCCACACAATTCTCCACAACAACTGATTTTTTTTCTGCTACACCCGGCTACGCTGCTTCGCTTCTTCTTCTTGTTTACTACTGGTGGTTGGTTTTGGTCGCAGTACCGCCACCTTCTGCTTTGGAGTGTAAATGCTTCGCCTATGAGAAAAAGGAGCAGCGCATGAACCGAACGAAACACACGTGAACCGAACCGAGACAGTCGAACCGAACGGTTCGGACGGTTTTCATAAACCGTTCCATCCCTAATATATATATATATATATATATTAAATGCGTGGTTTCCATTTAGCCATTTAATTTACATGATTACAATATCCACTATTTGAATTGGAAACAAAAGCTTGTGAGGAAGAGTAAACTCATATCTGCTTTGGTATTTCAACAAAAAAATGATGCGCTATTCAAATAGTACATTTTATATGACTTTTTTTTAATATTATAGATTTCTATTAATCAGAATAAAAGCAAACATTTTTATGTGTTGGGTTTTACCTTAACAGCCCCCTCTGCCTCCACAAACCAGCGGCGCAGCATTGCCTGAATCTGGCCATCTGTCAGCTCACTGTTGGCTGCTTGGATCTTCTTCTTCACCGTGTCCTCCAGCAGCAGGCGCCTCAGACGCCAGTAGAAGAACTGGCGGGAAGTTTGCCATTCCAGGATGTCCTGAGAGGGAAGAAAAGGCAAAGTGGGGACATGTAAATATCTGAACCAAAATTTTAGCTTCTATGGAAAGTTTTATTTATTTAAAACTAATTATTTCTTTTTTCTAAAGCCTATGATTCATGAGACTCAGGTTCTTTTTGTTTTTATATAGCTAAAAACATCTTAAGATCACTTAACAGTCTTGAATAAAAACAAGTCTTATAATTTAGTATGGCACATTCAGGTTTTTCTTTTTCTTGAGATTTTAGTTTGGACAAGTTCAAAACTTCAAGGAATCATTCTGATTGTTTATAAAAGCACAAGGAGGTCTCAGAATTGAGTGATCAAAGTGAATCAAAGACTTAATCCCAGATTTCTCTAGGCAGGCTGAGGTAAACACAGAGTCAAGTTCAAATAATAATCTTCCTGGGTGAATACTGTGTGTAATAAAACACAGACAACCATCCATCTGTGAAACACCCTCCTGGTAATGTGCAAAAAGAGTGTGTATGTGTGTGTGTGTTTGGGTGTGAGAGATGGGAGCAGGAAGGTGCAGAATGAGATGAGACCCGCCTCAGGCTGCTCTATAGTAGGTAAGGTGATTGACCAGGGTCATCAGAAGATAATTATGAAGACGAGTCTTGCAGCTTTGTAAGACCAAACATTATTCACTGGACAGGTGCAGCAGCAGCTAGACTGATACTGCCCTCTAGGCTTTTCAGGTGATTCACTTACTACACGCTCCTATGAAAGACACACATTAACAAATGATGGTCTTAGCTCTAACCGTGATGACGCCCTTCTCTTGCATGCGACCGGGGGTGTCGTGGAGGTCAGCGAACTGCACAGCCACCTGATGGTAGATAGGCAGCAAAAACTCCTCACGCTCCTTCAGCTTGGTCTCCAGGTCTTTGCGATCAGCAGGGCTCAGTTCTGGAGTCCCTGTTTAGATTAACAAGATATATAAATGTCTTCCAGAACAAGATAAAAATGTATTTTAATAAAACTAGCCAGAACCAATCCCTGATCAATCGTTGCATGCTTTGATGATTTGTGTTTCTTTATCCGAATTGTCCATCTTCAACTTTCAGTTCCAAAATTAAAGTCTCGGGCATCAATAAAATATGTTCCTGAGGAAAAACCTTTATATAAGGCCTGCCTAGATGTTGACCACTGGTAGGACTGGAGCCGCATGTTTGCAGAAACCAAATGGTTTGAAAAACAGACATGAAATTACAGCATACACCTGACAAAAGCAAGGCACCATTTACCATTCTGTTACTAGATTGGATCATTAAAGTGCCTTGGAAACACTAGACTTTATTTTTCTGTTTGGTTCCTTTTAAACCAACCATTTTGATTAAATTAGACTATAAAAAAATCATAGAATAACCATCTTAGGTCCCGATTGCCATTAGCAACTGATAAAATACTGCATAAATAATTGTTAAAACAAATTTATGTGATGTTTAAATCTAAAAGACTACAATTCATAAAGCTAAAAGACTACAATTCATAAAGCTTTCCCAGTGTGTATTCATAATTCATGTTGTCCTTATCCCTCAAATATCAATTCAGGTTCCACTCATGAATGAAGCTAAAAATCAACTGTCTCCAACAGCATTTCGTTTTGCAGGCCCTCCACAAACCCCTTGCTGGTTTCTGTCAATTCCAATCTGTAAGCTCTCTAGCCCTCCAGAAGTCTACCTTTATTCCATCATGTTTTGCTGAAAGCACCAAACCAGTGCAGCATCAAAATCAATACCCTGCACAGGGGAGTTAGTGATTGATCCGAGTGGGCTGTGATTGACATGTCTCCCCAGGGACTGCAGTGAAGATGACACAATCAACACCAAATAAGGCAGGGCAGGGAAAGCACACATGGTCCCACCTGATGGGCGGCTCACTCACTAAAAGGAGGAAGTAAAGAAATATCTAGTTAAAAACAGGGTCGGATCTCACCGAGTCTTTCCGCCAAGCCCATGTAGACCGGATCTACTCGTCTCATGGTCTTCACCAGATCCTTCCTTCTAAACTTGATCTCCACTGTTCCTTCAGGCTCCAACACGCCACCTCTGAAAAACAAGACACAATCAAGATGACAAAGCTGTTTGGAACCACACGTTTGTTTTTTCACATTTAGATTTTATGTGATAGTTGATCATTACTGTAAAATAAATAAAACGGCAAGCAGTTTTCAACTTTTTAAGCAAATGAAATCTAAAGATGCTATCTTTATTTAGCTCCATTGATTATGACATGGATTTGGATCAGCCTCACTGGTACTGCAGCAGAAAGTCCCCCCCACTACAACTAAGCAGTAGATCCTTGTGTCGGAGTATCTCATGAAATCTAAAAGCATTTTCTGGAGTTTAAGATTCTCCTGTGAATTTCCAAAATTTGAATCATTTGCAACCCTTTTTAAAAGGAATTTTCTGGACTGCAGAGCGCACCTCACTGTAGGCCGTGCCCATTACATTTTTTTAAAAACTGGAAATGTACATTTATAAGCCGCACCGGGCTATAAGCCACTGAACTGTCTCCCACCAAACCTGTAGGGGGAGCTCTACATATAGCCCCTGGATTAGGGAAGAAGAAGAATGCTAGCTCCCGTTAGCTCGTTGTCTCACTGCAGTAAGAGAATCTACTGAAATATGGGTCTTTGTCAGCTCTTTATTTAGTAGTTGAGCCCAGTCTCTTCATTTGTTTGGCAGCTTGAATCGGGCAAATAAATGTCAAAATGTGTGAATTTGGGACATTTGTTCTCCGTCATGTCTGCTGTTAGCATGTTCTTGTGCTGAATGAAAATTAGCCCATTATTCTTTCATCTCCAACTTTGACTTCCCCCTCTGGCAGTTAGGAAAAATCCACAGAAAAGCCGCACCTTCTTATAAGCCGCATGGTTCAAAGTGTGGGAAAAAAGGCCTATAGTCTGGAAAATACGGTACTGAGAATTTTTCTCAGCTTCACAAACTCACCGGCTGTCCTTATCTGCATACATCTCCATGTGACGGGGGTTGATGGTGGGATCTATGACCACCCAGGAGCCACCTCTCAGCTCAGCCTGAGGGGGGATATAAACCAAAACAGGCTGCTTGTACTCTCTCAGTCCATCCACGATGTAGGCCCCGAACTTCAACACCTGGTCGTACATGTCTAAAAAGAATAATTTCAAGTTAGATCACAAAAATGTGTTCTGACTGATACTGACTAATAAAAGATCCAGAAATACCTTTCATTCCCCCAGAAAAGCCTCTCCAGTTGGAAAACACAATGAGAGGTAAACCCTCTCGGTTCAGATCCTTAATGGCCTGTGCCGTTTTAAAAGCCGAGTCTGGGAACCACACCTGCCCTGCCTGCTGGATGAGCTAAATGTAGAAAAAGGAGATATACAGCATCATTACCATGGTTATTATCCCAGCCATGCTGAAAAGCGCAGGGCCAAGGCATTTATAGTCACTGAGCTTTTCCACTTTTTAACCTCGCTACACATATTTCATGTAAAAATATCAGACCTTTTCACAATACAGAAAATAAGAAAATGATGGAAATAATAGAGGGAGAAAACAGACAGGTAATAATAGATACAGGGGCGGGAAGAAGAAAAAAATTCAAAGACAGAAAAGACTAAAAAAAGTAAGGAAGGACACAAAGGAAAGGACACTAGGAGGGAAAGAAGTACGGAGATAAGTGATGAGACAAGGTAGAAAGAAAGAAGTCCGGGAATGTGCATCTTTTTCAATATTATTTCATTTTTCCCATCTCTCATCCAGTCCTAATATATACTGAAACAAAATACCAGACTGAAGAGGAACCCTACACATTTCATCTAATTAGATTACACACACATTGGAATCTGTTCAATAAACAGAACACTTCTAAAGGCAACTCACTGCAAAAACGATCTAGAAATAAGTAAAATGTTCTCAAAGTTTATTTACCATTAATTTGAGCAGGCAAATAAGATGATTTGCCAATGGAATGAGCATTTTTACTCTTAAAATAAGATAAATAAGTGATACGCATTTGAAATAAGACAATGCAATTGTTTTTTCTGATTTAAATGCAAATTGTCTTGTTCCATTGGCAAAGTGTTTCAACTAAAACATATTTTCTTTAATCCAACTGTTTTTAATATTCTTTTTTTTGTTTCTGCATTTTTTTATTTTATTTATTTTTTTTTTTTTTTTTCCTACTTGCTTTGATTCTGTTTTATCTTCCTGTATTTTAATCATGTAAAGCACTTTGCATTGTCTTTGTACTGAATTGTGCTATACAAATAAATTTGCTATGCCTTGCCTTGCCTTACCTCCTCAATTTAAGAAAACAATGCACTGATTTTTAGAAAAAATGACTTATTTAGATTAACAATTTTTGCTTTGCTGTTAGCATAATATTATATTTAGGAGTATCAGTGAACTGGTAGCCAAACTCAAATGAACAGCACATAACTTTGCACATTTTAAATCAAGGCATCATCATTTTCCCAAGTACAGTACATATGTCAAAGGCTTATGTTGTATTGCGTATTATTTGTCTATTGCCTATGTGATGGCACTTAAAAGCCGCTCCTTAAATTTGGTTTGGGACTGTTGTACAATGAAATGAAATTACTTCTAAACTTTAACGTTTTTGTTTTGTATAAAGCCTTTAGAAAAGTTCAAGCAGGGTAAATACTTTACATGCAAGGCAGACTTTTTAACCCTCCCTCTAAGTGAATCTTACCTTTGCCTCCGAGTCCAGATTGGCTGGATCGGCTGGGATTGATAGCTCCACCGTCCTGGTTTCTACAGCCACAACCCCTGTAGGTATCCCTCCCAGTCTGAAAAAAAGAAACCAGTTAGGGGTTTTGTGGAGAAGCAACTCCAGAAATCTGGTGTGTGTTAGTCTCTGTTAATGCCAACGCTTGAACATACCTGGCTCTGCCCACCACCACACTCTGTGCCCATGGCTGCATGATCTCCATGAAGGAGCCTTGGTCAAAGAAGCCGCTCTGCCAGGAACCTTTTGGAGCTTTAGAAACAAGAGGAAACTTAGGGTAATAAGACAATGCTAAAAGTTTTGTTCGATTTCTATTTAATTATCCATTTCTTTAACTCGCTTCTGGATTCTGTCTCACAGCACACTTGCCTAATTTTTTTTCCTTCTGTGCACTTGGCAGCACCCATGATGGATGACTATATAACCAGCTGGGCTCAGCGGTTTTTCTGCTTGCACACACTGAGAAACTTCTCCAGCCTTTGAGGTTACCGTTCAATTAGGCCTCGTCCCTCCTCACTAACACAGAAGCTGACAGAGTTCCCACAACGTACTTCAAATTCTCTGTAATTACACTAATCTTTAACCTGAAGAGGGAGATCTACTGCACACATTTTGTTGCTGACATGGGCACCTTTAATAGTTTTATTTTTTAATCAAAAGCCTTTATCTTTTAATGTACCATTTGAACATTTATCTCTTGATCTGAAATGATAAATCTGTACGTTTCAAAAGATCAAGTCTTCTCGACCTGGGTGTGAAGAAAGAAGTCTGCTTTCAAGTAATTTATAAGTTTGAAGTTTTATTACAGGTAATCAAAAATACATACATACAAAGTATTGTTTGAAATATTTACTCGTCATAAAATCTTGTTTTATCTCTTAGATGAAAATTTGTCAATTTCATAATGATATGGGACTTACTTTGACTGGGACGTCCCATCAGCATCCAGCGAGGATCATAAGGAGTCTTGGTCGGCACAAACTCCACCAGCCGATCTATGGGATCCTTGGCGCTGATGATGGGCACTGGACTGGATTTACACTATGGAAAAAATATAAACATTATAAACTCACAGGAAGTCGCTGTTCCATCTTATGTGTGTGAAAGGCAGAGGAGGAAAACTACCTTGGGCATGTAGGAAAGCCACTGCAACAAGTTAAAGACGCCCTCGAAGTCATCACAGACAGTACTGTGGGTCACACCGTTGTTGTGCATGATCTGAATTCCTCCCAGTTGGTTGTTGGAAGTGTAAACCTCTCTGCCCAGCACCTGCGAAGACCAATGCAGAAATTTATATTTGAGAACAAAATACGGTCAATATCATAAAAACACAGTATTCTAATCTGATCCATCCTTGAACTTAATCAATAATCAGACTCAGCTGAGCTGGACAAGCTGTAAAGACAAACAAGGAATCTGACTTTGGTTTCAAATGTTAATGATAAAATAAATAAACAGATAAAGTAATCACGCGTAATCTCAGTATATAAACATCCACTGATTACTGCACTTTCCGGACTATAAGCCGCTACTTTTGTCGCACACCTTGAACCATGCGGCTTATGAGAAGGTGCAGCTTTTCTGTTTACTTTTACTAACTGCCAGAGGGGGAAGTCAAATTTGGAAATGAAAGACTAAGTGGCTAATTTACATTTAGCACAAGAACATGCTAGCAGCAGGCATGGCAGAAAACAAATGACATTTAGTTCCCTCATTAAAGCTGCCTAATCAATGAAGTGACTGGGCTCAACTCTTGCAGAGGAGAAATAAAGAGCTGACAAAGCCCCATCTTTCAGTAAAAGCTTTTACTGCTGTGACCTAACAAGCTAACAGGAGCTAGCATTCTCATTCATCCCTACTCCAGGGGCTATATGTAGAACTCCCCCTAGAGGTTTGGTGGGGGGACAGTTCAGAATGTAATTTTCCATTTTTTTTTTCAAAAAAAATATTTATGGACATGTTTTATAGAGAGGTGTGCTCTATAGTCTGGAAAACACGATATCTTTAGTGTCTTACAAAAGGGTTTATTAACGTCACATGTCACGGTCTTGGTTCTGTTATGTATTCTTTTGAGTATTCAGTTTTACTTTGCTCCATCTTTTCTAGTTTTATTGGTTTAATTCCTATTTTGTGGTGTTTTCTGGAAATATTTGAGTTCTTAGGTTTTTATTTGTTGCAATGTGTTTGTCTCCTTTTCCCAAGCTCTTTTCTACACTCCTCTCTTCACACCTGCTCCCAATCAGCTCGTTAGTCCTCTCTTTGTTCAGTCTCCCATAAATACTCTCCTTGTGCAGTTCCTCAGTGCTGGTTCCTCGTCTTACTTTGTCTCTACTCGTCTTTCCCTGACTCCACGTTCCTTTTTACCCTGATGTCTCCATGGTTCTGGTTTGTTTTACATTTTTCATGTTGGATTTTTGGATTCCTGCCTCAGTTGATGTTAACATTCAATTAAATCTTCAAGAAACCCACCTCTCCCTGCCTCTGCATTTGGGTCCTCTATCCTCAACCAAACCCTGACACACTATGAACTGTATCAGGGTTTCAGTATATATTTCAGTGTTTCATAAAATATGGTTCTATACAAATTAATAAAAAACTGTCAGAAAAATCTTGCAATGCATTTCAGGAAATCCCGATCAGCCCCTTTAATTCTGATATATCAGATATCAGGGGCTCTGATATTACTAAATATTATGAGCCAACAATTACCTTCAGATGTCATATTATTAGTTATTAGGGTAAACTGACTATAGAATAAATCTGTTCTTCAAAGGCATTCAAAGAAAAAAAAAAGGCAAATGTTGAAGAAGAGGAGTTGCTCAGATGAGACAAAAAAAAAACAACTCTTTGGCCTAAATGCAAATGATTATTACCATTACTGTATGACTAAATTAAATGCAGGCAATCATGCATCAAAAATCCTCCATTTCTCAATTATGTTTAACTCTGCGTTGATCTTCATTAAAATGCCCCAAAAATACATTAACCTTTGCGGTTGAGCCTTTAAAAAAATGTGCAAAGTTTAAAGGATATTAATTCTTTTGAAAGGTAATGCATTTCTTTTTGCACCTTTGATCATATCACACACAGGGAAACCTTTGAGAGGAACCACAGCCTCGGGTTAATCCAAACATTGCTCAAACATTTTCAAAGTAAAACTGAACCTACAGTGTAATGATCCTTTCATGGTCTCAACCAGAACATCAACAACAGAGGGTATTATCGGTGCTGTATTGCTAAGCTTAATGAGATCGGACACACATAAGGACGTTCAAAAGAACAGCACCTTTTGTCAATACAGGTGATAAGCAGCAGGAGAGCGCAGTATCTCAGCAGGAGCAGGTCATCGTCCACAGAGGTAGCCCCGGGTTAATCCTACCACCTTTTCCCTAGTGAAAAACTGGTTTTTATTTTGAACCATCCAGATGCAGCCAGCTAACAGTCTGTTGTAAAAGAACAAAGCTGGAAGCTTCAAACTTCTTTTCTCTCTACGTCACTCAGGTGTTAACCTGAAGCCATAAATTCAACCCACCCGATTTTCATAAGCAGCTCAGAACAGGTGGCTGGGCGCTGACATGGTTCCATAAACATCAGAGTGGAGCTCAATCCCTACCCTCAGCTCTCACCTTTTCAGCCATCATTTACTTTCTTTATTACCATTAATGGTTATGTATCTGGCTACAAATCTGGGGCACTCTCCTAAAGCTGTCAGGAGAGGCGGCAGCCCCAAGAAACATTACAGTCACCTTGACATACACAAAACCTCTGTGCCTCCGGCCATCGCCTGCTTCATTAAGATTCCATGGCGAAGAGAGGAGGAGATATTGGACAAGGGACAGGGAGAGATGACTGGGAGGAAGAAATCCAGGGCCCAACTGGTAGCAACAGCTCACTGGGGTATTTGTGGTCCTAGTTACTATCCACTCCCCATGAAAATCTGAGTGTTTCCTAGCAGCTAATGAAATGATGATCTCCTGGTGGCCGCCTGCTGCTCCCTATTAACTTTCAGTTAATAGCCAAGAATCCACATGACGGATTAGCAGAAAAATATTCCTCACTTTACTCAAGACTGCTAAATATACAGTTAATATACAACTGTGTTACAAAAAAAAAAAAAACACCTATTTGCTACTTCAAGATTTCTACTATTTTTTGGGGGGGGTTCCACTTAAATGTTGCAGATTACATGTTTTTCAATATCAAACAAAGGTCATACAAAAAGCTGCTTTAAAATGTATTTTAACAACAGATATATTCTGTTGAAAAAAAAAAAGCTTTTTTGGGATAAATTCCTGTGTTATTGGTTTGCCATGTTCCTACAAATATCACAAAAGGGCCGATCATGTAAATTACAACTTGTTTCTAACCGAGACTGGCTGCATCAAAACATCCTGATCAGTAGAATAAAAATATCTAAGTGAACTCTATCTGACGGCATGAAGTTAGCAGAAAAATCTAAATTTCTAAAGCTTTGATTTGTCCGTTTCACGGTAAAATATTGGTAGTTGTTGCCACCAAAACTGGGCCAACTTTTTATTATTAAAGAAATTTTTTTTTTTAAAGCTACCCATGTTGACTTAAACAGCTTACTTAAACTCCTAATTGTATTCAGTTATCTTACCTCTGTCTGCTTTTACAGTTTGATAGATTTTAAACATAAATTTGTCACAAAAACAAATACAAGAAATTTGCAAGGGGGCAAATACTATTTCACATCATTATAAACAGAAATATTACTGCAAACATTTTTAAATAACAATCACTGCTCCCACAAATGGAGATAAACAGTGGGGGCATCTAATAACCAAGCTTCCAGGAATATTTGTATGCCATCATTTGGCCATTTGCATGGTTTACCATGTTGCAGCGTGTCATATAATTTGAAATGGAGTCATCTAAATGCACTGACAAGGACAGAGAATGGAGAGCAAGACAGCAGGAGGCAATGAAGCATACAGACACACACTCATACACACACACACACCCATCAATTGTGTGCAGAAAAACAATCTGCATCAGCGAAACTTTTCATTTTGATTAAAAACAAATGATATGGGTGTCCTGCACTGCAGCCTCTGGCATGTCACTCTATTTCTATGCAAATACAGCTTCATGGTTCGCTTTCAATTATTCCCCTTTGAGTGGCAGGCAGGCCCGTGGCTGCCGTCAGAGAGGGAATCCTTGTAGAACAGAGCAAAGCAGAGAGGAGCCAGCCTGAAAATTGCAGGATCAGCGAGTTGGAACAAGCCACAAAAATCAGAGCAGAATTATTCTCTTCATTTTGACACACATAAACCTCATTTGTCTTCCATTGAGGTCCTTCTACAGCATTATTTTACGTAAGAAAACAAGTTAAAAAAAAGAACAATGTTTTACAAACACACTTTTATCTCAACTTCTCCCCCCCGAATGCCTCACATTCTAGCAGTCAACTAATAAATCCTTTAAGAGATTTCCTCATTAAAATGCAGATTCATTATTGGTGCTAATTTAAGAGACAGCTCATTTGGTGCTCATGCTGTTTCTACTAACAAAAAAAAAGTTAATTGTCTTTGTGCTGCGCTGAAATACAGATTGTGCATTGGAGCTCATTTTACCTTGTTGAGGGCCCCAGCTCCAGTGAGGATTATGTGAGAGTTGTCCACTTGGATGGTTCTCTGTCCAAGTCTCACCAGATAGGCTCCAATGCCTATTGCTCGACAAGTCACCTATGAAACAATGCATTATAAATATATCAAATATTTTCAGTGCAACCATAATAAACCTTTTCAGTTACTTTGTGCTTAAGATCATATAAAATGCCTGAAAAAAAAAATTAAAAAAGGAGTCTCTGCTTTTGAAGAAAGCAGCTCCAATTAAAGGCTTCGTAAATATGTTTTTTCCTTTTTTTTTTTACCAGATTCATGGTGATGATCTCCTCATAAGCTAGAGAAGATTCTCCAGCAATCATTCCAGATCCTCTCAGATTCTCCACACCCAGCCCCTCTTCCTTTCCAATAATATCAGTGATCTTGTACCTGCAAGACAAAATATAGGGCTTACAACGCGAACGTGAACCCGACAGGTTTTTTATGTTCAGATTTTACACAATTTCAACAGAACAATGCAGATTTTCCTCACAGCGGGATAGGGAATCATTTCTTTCTCAATAATTTGCAATCATAAGAAATCAGCTGAAACATTACCTTGATTCACCCCCATCTTCAACATGCTCGCAATGTACAGAGTTAAGAGCAGAGACTTTTTTGTAGTCCTGAGGTGTGAGGTAGAGATACTTGAATCCCTATAGAGAATAAAGAGATCGTAATAAATTGCATAAAAATGTCAATTATAGAAGATGAACAATATAAATGTGAAAATGGTTCTATTGTTACAATCAAATTCAAGTATTTAAAAATACTGAAAAATATTGTAGAAAAAAAAACTAGGGTCACATTTTTGGTATAAATAAATTTTAAAAAATTGATTTGTCTGACTGTAGAAAAAAGCATTTGTCTGGCTGACCTTGTATGGATCAGCTGGATCCTGCCAAGCTACATGGAACATGTGTCTGATCTCCTCAGCCAGGCCGATGCGGGCACCACTGTTTGCTGCGATGTAGATGCGAGGGATGCCACTCTCCCTGGCCATCTCTGAGGCTCGGAGGAAAAGCACATCCTCCTGAGGTCCAAATGAGCCAATCTTGTGAGTTATGTCATTGCTTATGATAATGATCTCCCGTCCTGCTGGATACTCTGGGGTTCGCAGGGTCATTCGCCATGCCACCATGCCAATCTGAAAACACAGACCGTTTAGAAATTAAAAAAAACATTTGTGATTAAGATTAAACTTTAAAAAAAAAAAAAAAAAAGATGACCCGCTTAAAATAAATAACATTACATAAATCACACATGCTGACAAATATTTTATTGTTTGGTGTAAATTCAATCTTAAAAAAGTTCCAACTTTAATAAGCTAAGATCCTGAAGTAAGCTTTGCAGCTTTAGAGTTCAACAAGACAGCCAAAGCAACAGAGAGACCCCTACAGAGCAAATCATGTATTACACACTTTAAGAAGAGGATGTCAAAAGATTGATAGAAAAACTTCTGTTTTATATTTCATGTGTTCATCTATGCAGAATCACTGACCTCATTTCCTCCCGGCAGTCTGTTCATCTGCACCAACTGACCCTGTGCATCCAGAACCAGCTCGGTGAAGGTGAGCAGTTCTGAAGGAGGGGGGCATTCAGGTAGGTAAGCATAAGCCTGACTGGAGTGCCAGAGCTTTTTCAGAGCCTACAACAAAACAACAACAAAAAAAAAAGTCAACAATGAGTGTCATGAAAGGTGCAACATTCCATACTGGAATCAAAGAATTGTGTTTCTGTAAAATACCTGTCTGAACATTTCTGGAAAGTCGTAGACGTATGTGGTGCCCAAAGATTGTGCCTGGAAACGCTTGGACTGCAACAGGTCCTTTGTCACATACGGTGTATTGATTAACATGCCATGCAAGGGCCCTTGCTTGTCACCATATGCTTGGAACATAATCTGGAAAGACAAATTATACAATGAGTCCATTTACTAACTTCATTTCTTCAAGTTTGGGATCTAAATGGAAAAGTAGAAAATAAATCGATAAATCATCTGGTGGGCATGACATATCCCAACACAGGTGACAAAGCAGATTCACAGCTAAATTGAGATGCAGCTTTAGACATTTGATAGAATCTCAGCCAGTGTGAATCAAATTAATAGAGAAATGAGAAATGGGCAACAAAAACACCCAGAAAGCAAAAAATAAATAAATAAATAAATAACATGTAAACCAAAAAAAGATGTAATGGTTTCATGTAGGTCTGCTTTCATTTTTCCTTTTTCTTTTACCTACATTATATCAATGGATGGATCACATGGATGAAGGTTTATGAGCTAAATGACTGGATGAGGGCAATACTTACCTAATCTGCTGCCTGAAGCATCATTTAAAAAAGCAACAAAAAAAAAACTGCCCACCAGACAAAAGGCACCAAACCATTCTTAATCCCTTCCAGATCAAATAAAAAAAGACAATCAGAATTGCCTTTCTTTAAATAAAAAAATAATAATTCTATCATCAAAAAGTGCTACAGAAGGCGACCAGAAACATGGGTTTTAAGAATGGACTTGGCGTCTGACGCCTGAGACAGGAAAACAAAAAGAGGATGGATGGAAAATGGATGAGTGCCCCACCTGTCGATCTTTGGGCCCCACCTGTCCCGTTCGGGAGTCAGTGACCTCCTTGTACAGGCTGATATCCAGGTAGTAGCCCGACTCATTTGTCAGGAAGAGGCGAATTGGAATCTGCTTTCCCGTTGGGGTCAGGCGGATGTTGATTTTCAGTTCAGCTTGCAGGACCCGGAGCTTCCACAGACGACTGCCATAACGCATCACCATGGACCGCACGGACTCCTCGATCTAATTTTTTCACACAATCATATCGCTAAGAGCCAAACTCACTATGGATAATGATAATCTCTGTGAGATGGACTTTTTACCAACCTTTGACGGATCCATGATGACTGTAGGGACAAAGTTGAGGAAGATGTGGTTACAGTCGGTCCGTACGGTTGTGTTGTTAAAAGCCACTTCCAGTTCATCCATGGCTTCTAGCAGAAGACGCTCTGCTTCATTGTGAAGGTATTCAAAGGAAGCTTCCTATAAACAAACATAGCAATATGGGTCAGTATTAATGAAGGTCATAAAGAAACAGACATAACCATTCATGGTTAAAGGTGCACTGCAAAACCTGCTGTGGAACTGGGTGCTTTTTGGCTGTATTAAGCGTAACATGGTGAGAAACCAGTTAGCGGTTTACTTCAGAGAGATGCTTAATGAAGTCAGGGGGGCACAAAAGATTTTGCAGACTTGTCTTGAGTTAATACATTACAAATGATGTAGATATCAGAGAAGCTGAAGGAATAATAGCAAAATTGCTGTTTAATCCTTAGACTAATTACAAAAATATTTTGCAGCTTTTCATCTTCTTAAAGCTATTATTTTAATGATGCTATTTAAATGTTTTTTAATAGCATTTTTATATTTTCTTACCTTTGTGACCAGATCAGAGTGGCGGATAATTGCTCGAACAAAGAAACGATAGTCAGTGACCTCTGTCCCCACCTCCACACGGGCTGCACCCAAATACAAGTGCATCTTATGGTTGGCACAGGGAATGGCGGTTAGTGCAAAATTTCGCATGCGGTTGAGCTCCAACTGGAACGCTAAAGCTGGCTCCAGGTGCCGATAGATCCTGTCCTCCTCAAACTAAGGAAAAAAACCCAAAACAAGACAGATGAGTTAGTGTTATAAGTTTTGAATAAGATTATTTCCAGTCACATCAAAACATAATTTTTTTTCTGGTTATATTATCTAATAGTCTTTCAACTGGGAGCAGTAGAAGGAGGACATATTAGAAGCAAGTTGATATAAGAGTAGGGAGACGCCTTGGAGCAACACAATGTATTAAGTAAATGAAATCCCGAACAATCTTAATCTCAGGAAGCTGCTAATGGGTGTCATTTCTCTTAAATGGGGAACATAATTAAAGAGTTCATTACTGTAATGAGTTTTAGTGGTGTGCAGTTGCACTGAAACTATCGGGCGTGGTGGACAAGAGGAGCCACTACTGATTCATAGAGAATGAAACTCAGTAGTGCTGAGGAATGGGTGAGGGGTGTAACATTTTTTTTATTTTATTTTTTTATTTATATAATAGAAATAGAGGCATATTAAACAGTTTAAGGTTAGCAACAGAAGATAATTAGCAAAAGTTGGACAAGCGTCTATTTGGTCAACTCCTACCTTATCTCTTGCCCGGAATGTGAAGAATTTCGGGAATTCTCTCTGTGAATGAAATGTAGATGAATACATGCATTATAAGAATGAAAGATTCTTCTGCAGTTGACCTTTAAGCATTTTAACCTATAAACTTTGCAGAAAGTCAAAAAAGCATAGTATGGTTTCAGCTTTTCCTGCTCCACCGTGAGTAAAGCTGCTGCATATTCTGTTCTCCATGCACAGCATTGATGTTTTCTTTCTATAATTTATCAGTCAAACAATCAGGGTGTTCACAAAAGCAGCAAGTTATCGTTGCTGCACTGACAAGCTACATATACATGCAGCACTTGCTCTGCTGATGAATAAAATATCTTTTTTCCTCAGAGACATGCGATCTTCTGAATAATGCCTGGTAGCGCTGTTTGACGTTATCAGATGAAGTGTCCCACTTGCCAAAACAATGCTGGGGAGATTGGAGATGCTCTTATCAACTCACAGCCGACGCCATGATGAGAGAGCTGCAAACCTCCAAAGACATGATTTGGCACTGTGATTAAACATCACTTCCACTTAGCATTACATATTTATAGAAAAAAAAAAGAAGTATTTTACAATGTGAGCCCCCTGAGCTGCATAATGGTGAAAACTAGTGAAAGACCCTCCATGTATCAGGAGGGCAGTTAGCATGATTGGGCTCCCATTATAGCCCCACAAAAAGAAAAATCAAAGGGTATTGTTGAAAATGATAGTGGAGCTGGAAGACAGGGAAATTTTTTTTAGTTTAAACCCAATTTGTTTTTCTTGTTGGCGAAGTAAGGGGTTTGCAAATATAACCTATTTGGGGAGATTTGTCAGTCTGAAGGATCCAAAAATTTCTGCATAGGTGCAAAGCTCAAGTGGGAGAAGCTGTCAGCAGGACAACTACTACTTGTGTACAATAATCTAGATTAAGATTGGAAGAAGAATGGCTATGGGAAAGCTCTTCCTCAAGTCCTTGTTTTCAAAAAGCCATGCTGCAGCAAACAGACGGTAGAAGGTTGTCCAATCCAACTGAAACATAACTGGGTGTAAGAACCACATACTAAATCCCTTCCACTGCACGGTTATGAACTTTATTGGTCTATCAAAAAAAAAAAAAAAAAAGAAAGAAAGAAAGAAATCCCTCACAAAGAAGTCTGTGGCTATAATGAGACAGAAACTGGAAAACCTCAAGGTGTATGATTCTATTATAAAACACTAATTTAATCAGGTGCCTTTATTAGGCTGATTGGAAACAATTAAAAACTTCTATCTAACTTTTGCTCAGTTAATGAACACCAGACTCGAATCATCTCCAAATACTTACGTGAAACCTTTGGTCCACCTCACAGTTGACTTGTTTCCTGAAATCCTACCATCAAAAATGAGCAAAAACGAGGCATGCAGAAAGAAACAGAGAAAGAGAAATGGGAAGATAAGCTTAATTTAAAATTATTAGTGCAAATTTCACAGCAATGTAGTTCAATTAGATTTTACTTCAAATATTAATTACTGAAAGAAACATGCAAGACTTTGTGGTACATTTGTTATATTCTGCGTCATGCCTATTTAGAACTGCTCAATTGGTGACATGCAAAGTAGGAGGCAGTGTTCTTGGAGTAAATGTTAAACCGAACTCACCTTCTGTGCAACAAGGAACGTCAGTCTTCGGATGCCATGTTCAAAAAGCAATGATTTCTGGAAAAAACAAATGCCGGCTTTAGCACTTTATGATCTTTCATGTGCATTTTAGATGTTTCTTTTGAATACGAGACAAAGGCTTTATTTTTAAATAATCTCACGTTGGACTGAGTGAACTCCCGAAACATGGCTGCCAGGCCATCATCATCAATGTCACTGTCTGTCTTTATGGCCACATTCAAAATGTGGATTGGCTCGTCCTGAACGCTCTGTACGATAAAGTAAGTAACACTTGTTTTAGGTTAAACAAACATATAAGCCAGTTATAATCCTAAGCAGGTTTTCTTTTCATCACCTTGTTGTCCTCTTCACCATACAGGACAGGGTTGCCTCCATCAGGGAACATTGGACTTGCAGGCGGAGAGTCAGAGAAGCAGCTCAGGACATCATTAATGTTCCTGTGAGAAGATCAAATAAAATAAAAAAAAATTTATCAAATCTTTATAACAAACACTTAAAATTCTATACATTTAAAATCTGAATTAAATTAATGGACAAAAACCACCCTGAAAATAAAACAAAAGATGAAATGTGTACCAAAAAAAAGAGGAACTGACCTTGTAAACTCTTGGAAGGAACGGAAAGAAACCATGGCTCCCATACGTTGACAGGGTGGTGTAAAAGATGTGTCAAGCAGGACGTCGCTTACACTGGCTACATGCATCATCCCATAGTGATTGAGGTTGGATGAGAAGGACATCCTAATATGTAGACAAAAAAAATCAATTGTGAGAAGAAATCGCCTCTTTAGCAAAACTGTCTTTAAGCATTAACCCACTCCACCACACACTAAAAACAAACACAACAAAACTAATCAATTTTGATCCCTCAGTCTTCTGCCAGTTCGTACACCAACTCAGAATAATTTTGGAGATGCACCAAGAAATCCACTGCTGAATGGAATCAGAAAAGCTGCCATTGAGCAGTGGGAACCCTCAAGTCCTATATTTTTTTCAGTTTAGTTCACCAAACGCTGCAACAAACTGAAGAGTGCTGCAACGAACAGCATTCTTCAATTAACGCTTTTACTGAATTCAGAGGAGTTTTCTACAAAATAGAGATCGAGAGAGGGCAAGTTGTTCTGCAGATAACAGGAAGGCTGAAAGAGGTTGGGCAAAGTTGATCTGATTTATGCCGCCAAGATTTTTACCCCAGCTGGTTAAAAAAGGCTGGCTTTGGAGTGTATGGATGGAAATTTTCTTGATCAATAAAAACGGGGCCGCTGTTAATATGCCAGCCCTGCCAACTGCTTATATAAGACACCAAGTTTCAAGAGTTAATCATTATTTTATCTTTGTTTTAAAACAATTGTTAAACACCGTTCCCTTTTCAGGTTGTAAGATATAACCTCTGATTTTAATGTAAACAATTATTAAATCTTAATTGAGTTTTCATACATTTCCGTGGTTCAGCTTTTAAAAAAAGAACACCAGTACTCTCTACAGCTGATATCTGCAAGTCAACTCTATAAAAACTGGATGACTAAAACTGGTGATGGCATTTTGATTGGTGCATCTTTGATTAATTTGCATTACAGCAGAAGAAGGTATCTGGTCAGATATTAGAGACTTGAGAGATTAAAACTGAGTTAATTTATAAAAGCAATGATTTGTATTATAATTATTGTAACCAATACATAATGTGTAAGTTACAGTGAAACAAGATATTTTTCAGGTGAGCAATGAACACTAGATCCACCAGAAAAACCCTTTAGATTGTTTTCCTCGAATGTTTGGGTGTTAGTCAGTTGGCAAAGAGATAGTATCCCAGAAGTTGCACCCACTGCGACCACTATAAAGGTTTTTGAGTCCAACCTGTCTTCAGATTCCAAATCTTTGGAACTTTTCTTTCCTCCATTCTCATCCTTAGCTTCATTATCTTGGGTTTTAAGCTCCCGGGGTTTGGGTTCCTGTACTTTAGCATCCAAGTTGATGCCATAGCCCAGGATGGGGGTGGCTATTTTCCTGACAAGGTAGTTAGAGGTTTCAGTACTGGATATACTTAGTGGCATATGTAATTTCTCCCATTGCAGCTTTAGCTATTGAACATGAACCATCAAAAGGATTTGCACAACAGTTTGGAAGAAAAAGTGGATTTGTAACAAACATAACCAAACTAAATATTAGCATTCATATTACATTGTAGCTGTTGTTAGTCAGTTCTAAAAGATAGAACTAGATTCAAGCTTCTTGTTAGAATTATTTTGAGGAAATTTCCAGACTATGTTGAGGAGGAATATTATTTCAACTTCATCTTGCTGCTAGCTAGCTACAATGATTATTCCATGCAATAAAAGAATATGTACAATACCTGTTGAGAGTTGGGATGTTCCCTCTGCAATCAAACAACATTGATTACTACATGGTTAGTATCAAGCAGCAGCAGATGAAGAAAGCAGGCAAGGTGGAGCACTGTGTGTGGGAATATCACTATGTGTTTAGTTTTTATTTTTTATTTTTTTTTTTTTAAATGCTAACTAAGAAGAGAGGATAAAGTGAATGAACAAGAGAAATACCAATCCCACTTCTAAATTGCTCCTTTGTATACAACCAGCACAAAGGAGCAGTCCTCCAAACCTGCTTGAATGACAGAGAGGGTCTCTTTCATGCTGTTTTGTTGTTCGAACAATGTGTCAAATGTTAATTCAGCTATGTCAAAAAATTGCATGCACTAGAATGGGACTACAATGGCACTAGAAAGATTCTACAGACATAAAAAGGTGAAATAAAATGCAAAAAATTTAAAACATCAAGGAGGGATAGGAGCAAGGAAACAGCACCAAAAATCCTGCAAATCAAACATTTTTGTCTGTTTTTTTTCCTGGCCCTTTTATTAAACTTTAAATATAATAATAATAATAATAATAATAATAATAATAATAATAATAATAATAATAATAATAATAATAATAATAATAATAATAGTTTTAACTTAAATGAAATGTGTAATTGTCAAATCATTTCAGATTGATGATTATATTGGGGTTACTTCTCTAAAGGGCAAAATATAAAAAGTGTTCTGAAAATATTTCAACTTCATTTTTCCATCTTTGTAAAATCAAAAACCATAAACTGCTAAATATTCTGTTGTAATTTCACATCATAGAACTACAGAAAATAACTGAAAATATGAAGCTGATGATAAAGCACAAGAGCTTTGCAAAAACTGTAAACAAATTCTAAAAATCATAGCATGTAGTTTCTTTTCACTTAAATCCCCTTAATAAAATTCAAAACAACCAAGAGCTTAAAAAAGTCACATTAACAATTATTAACAAAATAAAAAAACAAACAAAAAAACAATAACAAACAATGTGATTTCATCTTTACATTTAAACTTAAAATAGGACATATGGGGTTTAAACCTAACTTGGTAATGGCAGCATTATGCTCTGGGAATTAGTCCTATACAACAGGGAAAGGGAATCATCACTGAAGATCTATGTAGCTTATTTTCTTGCAAGACTAAGAACATATGTTAAAGGTAGTAAAACACCTGGCTGGGGACAAATCATGTTATGACCAAATTCATACTAGAGCTACTAAAATGCTGGCTGTTTTCTATCGAAGAACTCCCCACTAAATGAAAAAAAACTCCACACTGCTTTAATAGAGGCACAGACATGTTACCTGTTGGGATGTGAGGAGGGAAGCATGAATTGGAATTCTACAACACATGTGTTGTCCTTCAGCTGTCGATGCTGCACACTGTTCAGTTCATAAGCGATGTATGCTCTCCTCACGTACACCTGAGTTTAATAAAGACAAAGCCACAGAGAACATGTATGTGAGGCACCTGCAAGTGTGATAAGATGGTGCTAGATTGAGATCATTGTTCATCTCACCTCAAGAGCAGCCATCCTGACCACCTGATTACTGTGGTAGAAAAAGTTGGGCAGGACATCAAAGATGGATGTCTCCGAAAGGATGAGTTTCTACAGAGGAAAATCCCATGGTTACACATCTGACCTATATGTTGGAGTAGTAATGAAATATGCAACACAACTATTTGTTTGCTACCTGCAGGTTCTCAATGCAGAACTGGTGCCCGTACATATCGATAGCAGACAGGAAGATGGACTCCACCTGGTTGTGTCGTAGCTCATAGGAAGGGAGGTGGGATGCTATCAGAACCTGGGTGAGCAAGATTAATGGGGTCCTTCAGGCATGTGACAGAACACAATACCTCTTTACTTATCATATGACATCTTGCAACAGGGTATACCTTCATGCAGTTTTAACTCCAGAATGTGTCTGCAGCTATAGCGTGTGAGGCATGTAATTATCCATCTTTGTCTAAATTCATACTCATTAAAAGCTCCTGTCACTACCTAGAGGCTGCTGCTGCTGTAGGCTTTAAGCGACATCTGGTGGTGAAGTTATGAATAAATCTAAGGCTCGCTTGATTTATTGAATTTAACAACTCAGCAGAGATGTGAAAGTTCTGTTTCTTCTTCATATGTGCATTCAATTCCTTATAATGACATTGGAAATTCTTTGTGTTGTTGAAAAGGAGTTAAAGATCACGTCTTACCTGCCGAGCACGCAGAGCCACCTTGGCGTTGGTAGTCTTGCTGAGCTGTGTGAGCTCAGTCAGAATGGTCATCAGTTCATCTGTCAGTGTGGGATCACGGCCACATAGCTGGTCCTAAAAACACAGCATTAAAATAAAAAAAGATCAGTATTTATGATATAGAAAATGTACATCTCTAGCTCACCAAATATTTAATTAGTTAAACTTCAAGAGAGTGCATTAACAAAGTATCGCAACTACAACATTTATTTTTTTTCTTTCAGAAAATCAACACATAAAAAAGGGCAATTAAATAGATTATGCATCCATCATCCTTTTAGTTGCAACACAAATAGAATCTACTGCTGTAGAATAATTTGAACTACAGCTATCTGTAACATAATTGGCAAACAATAATGGAATAATGGAAAGAAAAGAATTTTGATTAAAATGAAATAACTGTTAAACAAATGCTTCAAAATCTAGTGATATCCCTACAGTAACAATCATCTTTAAATTAATTTGAACTACATACTTAGGGCCGGATTTATCAAAGGTTTGCGTGTATTAAAACGTGAGCTATTT